TTTACGTCGAATTCACTTTCACACTTTTTAAAAATATAAAACAATAAAGTCCTCCGATTAAAAAGCCTAAAGCATGCCTTGCGGGACGATGTACTTCTCTGGAATTAGCAGTAAATTCTAATCTGCCTCATCGATCGAGATTGGATTTGAAGTGAATTATAGGAGAACGATATTACACATATAAACTGGTCTGTCCGTGTTCTCTCGGCCTGGATTGAATTGAATATGCATCAACTTGTCAACTTAAACTTAGCTACCTTGTTCTATGCCTCGCATCTGACGAGAACTTCGGACCAACATGTACGTGCTTTGGTAAATGAAATGATTCACAAAGCACGCAAAACCTTAAATAGAACCGTTTTATTTGGGTGACTATAAATGTGTTAGTAATCAATTATGCGGTAATAATCTTGTGTGTTAAAGAACATAAGGCTATACTATTATATATAATAAACAAGCATAGAATATAAAGTACAAATACTTAAAATTGAGACAACAAATACTTCGCTATGCAAAAGAACAAATTAATTCAATCTAATAAGGATTACAAGTTTGGAAAAGATCGCCAGGATCAGAACGATTCTCGCGTAAATGAACGCAACTCTGCACTAATGCAGACTTTTCCAATTTCCCGATTCAACGGATCAGTGCGAGTAGTCAAACAGTAAAATTAAACTCTTTAATCAAATTTTCGATGATGCTACCCAGATGAAGCACAATGGACGGCGAGAACAATTGGAACCTACTGCTTGAAATGTAAAAGGACACAATGCAGGCGTGGAGTTGGAACAATAGTCATTTCTTGAAAACACGCAATCACGCGACCTGAGTATTGCTTGTGCTGCGCGATAGAGAAAAAATATTCGAATAGCACATGTGTATGGCAAAAAAGTCCAAATCCACTGAATACAGTTTTGAATGCATTTACATAATTTGTATCTAGTACGAAACATGAATTTACAATAACCTATACATGCAAGGAGGTTATGACAAAATAATGAATAAACTGAAATAGTAATATTTGCTGATTTAGGTTGCCACCATTAAACATTTTTTCATAAAAATTGTTATTATTTGTTAAAAATTGTTTTCTACTCCACATATTCAATACGTATTAAAATTATTCACATGTATATAGATTTAAACTGTAACTCATAACTATGCTAATCGGAAATATATTTTTTAAAATTATTATTCTACGTCCGTCGTTGGCCGAGGCTGCCCGGGCGAGACCTTCACTACTTAAAACCCTGCTTTTAAGAATAATTTTGTTAACTCAAATTTATTGAACCATCAAAGAAAAAAATTAAAAAACATGTTAAACAATTAACTCAGACGACAACTTGACTCTGGATAGGATTAAATTGAACAGATTTTCGTTTTTTTTTTTAAATTTAAACAGTGTAATAGAATTAGTTTTATAATATGAAGGTAAACAATATACTAATGTGTGTTTAAGAAAATTAACAATCAATCTTGATACCTAGTTATGATGGATAATAAACAAATAAATACAAGAGTCCGGTTTTTGTCTTTGAGTTTATGTTATTTCTGGGAAATTAATTTTACATTATTATTTTTAAAATGGTTAATATTTTTCAAAATTAATTTATTCATACTATTTGCTTTAACAGTACAAAAACATTTTTTAAAAATTTATTTCAACAAAAAGTTAAAAAGCTAACTGAAAAATTCTTTGTTGATATAGAATTTTTAAAACTTTTTGCAATTAATTCACTATTTTCGTGGTCCGCTTGACCAATTAACACATGACAATTAATTAAGGTTTTTAGTTGAGATGAAAAAAAGTTAATGGCACGAGAGGGATTCGAACCCACGATCTTCGGCTAGATACGCCGCTGCTCTACCACCTGAGCTATCGTGAGCTCGATTCACTCGGACATCAACTCCCCATCTTTTCAAACCGATTACACGACATTTGAAAAATGGCAAAAGGAGGGAAAACTCATAAGGTGGGGTTGAGATGGGGAGTTGATGCCCGAGTGGATCGAGGTCACGATAGCTCAGGTGGTAGAGCAGCGGCGTATCTAGCCGAAGGTCGTGGGTTAGAATCCCTCTCGTAACATTAACTTTTTTTTGTATTAATTGTCAAGCGGACCACCAAAGTAGTGAATTAATGATTTAAAAATGAAGTCCAAAATGAAGTCGAGAATCCAAACCGATTACACGACATTTGAAAAATGGCAAAAGGAGGGAAAACTCATAAGGTGGGGTTGAGATGGGGAGTTGATGCCCGAGTGGATCGAGGTCACGATAGCTCAGGTGGTAGAGCAGCGGCGTATCTAGCCGAAGGTCGTGGGTTCGAATCCCTCTCGTGCCATTAACTTTTTGCAATGTTGAGGTAAATATGAATAAATTAATTATAAAAATATATTTAACATTTTAAAACGAAAACATGATGCAAAATTAAAACGTTTTCCAGAAATGAAATATACGACTTGAAATTGGCACAAGAACGTCGAAACGTTACAAAATCAAGATTAAAAAAATCCTTTCTATAATAAGACCTAACAAAAGAAATTTTATTCTATAAAAATAAAAAAGAAGGGTAGCAATAACAAAGATAAAAGAAATCTACAATAATTTACTCAAATCGTAAACATAGCGCACATCGATTTCTACCTCAATCTCTTATCCCATGTAAGAAACCTTTATGTATAGATGTTACGTTACTACTTTAACAATAAGACCTTTATATTTTACAATCTTTTATTCAACAGTAGGTCTTTACATTATTAATCTATTGTAGATAACTTATCTATTCTTTGGATTGTAATACTTTAAACAAATACCCATTCCTTCAACTGTTCTCCTTTCCACATAAACACAGGGAAATCCCGAGAAAATTCATTACAATATGACCAGTTAGCACTAGATTTATTATTGTTAATCGGGCACTTTTGTAAGTGAATCATCCTGGACCGTGTGAAAGAAAGGTTTCTCCCGAACAAGTAAAATATTTATGTCATTGATAAATAAAGTTTTTCTTAATATTTTTTATTTATTTAAAAAACTTACATCGGTCATGATATAATTTAGATATAAAGTCAAACAATTAACTTCAAAATAACAGACGTGAGATTTAAATAAATTAGGGTTTATTAAACCTCAATCACTAAAAATAGGACACTCATCCTTAGAAATATGGACTGCCTATATGATCCCGTAAACACTCTACAACATGGGGAGTTGATGCCCGAGTGGATCGAGGTCACGATAGCTCAGGTGGTAGAGCAGCGGCGTATCTAGCCGAAGGTCGTGGGTTCGAATCCCTCTCGTGCCATTAACTTTTTGCAATGTTGAGGTAAATATGACCTATAATGTCACAAAAGAATGAAGAATTCAGGAGAACTTCAGATACAATGATGTGGGGTACAGATGACTACAATACACGAAAGTACTGAATCTGGCGTTATCTGTATGCCCTCAAGGCCTTGGAAAATCTTGAAAGAGGTTACTGGCAAAAAATTGTTATAAGATCCAATAGCCAAGCAGCTGTAAAAGCGCGTGTAAAAAATCACGTCAAAATTAGACGGTGAATGCATCCAAAATCTAAAAAACTGGGGAAACACAACAACTTGATGATATCCTTGGGTAGCAGGACACAAAGGAATTCTGGGTTAAAAAAGCAGACACTCTGGCCAGAGAAGGATCTGAAAGTCCATATATAGGCCCTGAACCTATTCTTGGGATAACAAAAACAAACACAGAATCCTCCATCACATTATGGATCCAAAAGAGAGAAAAGGCGATGTGGATAACCTAGAGGTACATGACACAGTAAACCTATACCAAAACAGCCCTCACTAAGAACAGCACAAGTGCTGCAGTGGAACGGCATGTTCATTGCTTCAGTTAGAGGCGGTTAAATTCAGAGGAGTGATAAGCGATAGGACTATTTACCGGTCACTGACATTGAGAAAACATTTATACAACATGGGCATCGAATCGACAGACTGCAGTGCTTGGAGAACATAAACCCTCACTTCCTAGTCTCCTTTCATCATCACCATCATCAAACTTCCATCATTTCTGCACATTTTGGATTAATATAATAAAAATCCTCTTTTCTCTTGAAAAGTGAAACAAGCTGCTTTTTTAAATAACTTTATTTTTTATTTTTTGTAGTGTATTTTATTATCTACTTGATCCATGCAAAAACATAAGTGAAACAGAAAAAACTGTAAATATACATAAATCGGAACATAATTTTTATGTACGTTGATCAACATATTCGTTTAGGATAATCCAATTTTACATTGAATTTTTTTATTTATTTTCATTTAGGATGGAAATACATTTACGACGCTAGAGTTCCAGATATTTTGAAAGCACTTTCAGTGACATTTGGCATCAAGGAACTCTGCTAACTGTTTACAACGGAGAATTGCCGGACACATGTCCCGTAGTACGTACAATATAGATTCCGCCAGGCTACGTTTAAAATTCCCCTTAGGTTAACAGACAACAATTAGGTGATTAATAAACATATTAATAATGATCGATTGGTTTCCTATCGAGACAGCCTGTAAAGGGTAATTGTATCAAATCAACAGAAAGAAAAATCCAACTATAAGAGACCAAAAGTTGGTTTTATTCAGACTTTTTCATCAAGGATGTAAAATATTTATCCTATAACTGACTTATAAAAATCATTTCAATTTATCGAAAAGATCGAAGCCCATAAATATTCTTTAAATATGAGTGTAATCACACTAGAGAATTTATTTCATTTTATTTATTTAAAGCTTTAAAATGTTCACAAGATGAATATCAAAAACAGAAACCAAGTAATTGAAAAATAAGGAAAATCACGCCACATTTGGTTGGCCAGAGGAGACCATGGCTATGGCACAAAAGATGCCGAAACCTACCTCCATTAGGATTGTATTTTCAACAGGATAACAATTTTATCTTCAAAAAAATCTAAGCCTGAAAAATGATATAATAATTGTAATAGATTCTCATTTACATTTTAGCCAGTCTGGTAGCTATATGTCAACCATTGGGTGCCCTTTTTGTCGGTGTCTTGATGGATTACATCGGCAGGAAGAAGACTTCTATTTTATCCAACGTACCCATAATCGCCGGTTGGGTCATCTTATACTTCACGACTGAGTCTCTCTGGCCGATTTACATCGCAAGGATTCTTACCGGAATCGGCGGAGGTAAAAAAAAGCAAACTTGGTTTTGGAAATTTTGATATTGACCGTTTCTTTTCCATGGTCCAGGCATGACGACAGTCGGCTTGGTTTACGTCGCGGAAATTTCTCACGTTCAGTTCCGTTCGATGCTGCTGTCTTTGAACAGTGTGAACGTGGCTTTCGGCATCCTTATAACGACTGTCGTGGGTGTCTACCTCGAGTGGCATACGGCTACTTTGTGCTTCGGCACCCTCGCAGTCATGAGCTTCTGCCTCACTTTCTTCATACCGGAGAGCCCCTACTGGTTGGTCAACTTTACAGATTCTCCGTTGGATGAAGTCAAGGCGAGCGTCGCTTACCTTAACAGAAAAAGTTGGGTATGTCACGTCTTTTTTTTTAATGAAGGATGGGAAAGAAAGAGAGAGAGAGAGAGAGAGAGAGAGAGAGAGAGAGAGTGTAAAAAAATAGTCAACAATGCTTTCATTATCTGCATAATTTTTTAAATAAGATCGAAACCTAAAGTCAGCCTCTCTTACCTTTCTAAGTAACTCTTAAAACTTACCTTTCTAAGTCACGATGGGAATTTAAGACAACCTGGTTCTTTGTGAAAAATCAATTATATATTGCTCCTGATTTGAATTAAATTATAATTAATTGGAACGATTAAACAGTTTGTAAGTTAAATAAGTTAAAGCGTAGAAAGGCACTTTTACAACTGGCTAACGGTCAAACTGTATGAAGTAATTTTATTCGCTACTATTACCGCTGATGAGATTACCTTAATCGTAACTGTCTTGATATGGCAAATTTAAGTTTTTGTCCTAGCTAATGTTAGTTGTCTTCGTCATGTCTTACTATAATAATCCCAGTACAAAGCTTCAATAAACCGATCTTAGAATTTCAAAATTTTTCAATAATTTTACTTCATTGTTATGGATTATTCGATGTGGTTGACTTTCCCGTTATTATTATCCTATCGAATAAAAAAAATAAATAAATAGGTTTAAATAAGCAAAATATTGTTGGAGCCTTTTCCACCTTACAATGGATTCTAATTTTAGTTTTATTTTCAGCTTTTTAAAGAGGAATGGGCGAGAGTGCAGAAGGTTGCTTCCGAACGGAGACTCCAAAAGGCAATAAGGGACAATGGGTCATGTTGTGGATCGATAGCCAACAAGATTAAAGTTTATGGAGAAAGAGGGTGCTACAAGCCTTTGATCATCCTGTGCATTGTATTTTTCCTTCAACAAACAAGTGGAACGTACGTCGTCATATTCTACACAGTGAACATATTCATAAGCCTGGGTGGAGATTTTGGCTTTGGTTTCAACGAGTACAACGCTACGGCTACTCTCGGGGTTGTGCGATTCGTCATGAGTCTCGTATCGGCGGTGCTTTCGAAGAAAATCGGCCGGAGACCTATCATGGTCATATCCAGCGCGGTCATGGCTTGTTCAGCTTTCGCAACAGCCTTTTTCCTCAAGATCAACGACATCGACACGATCAGCTTCGGAAAGGACAACTCGTCGGCCAATTTTACGTCGATGTCGCCCACGGCCGAGCCTCCAGTCTTCAGTAACGCATACACACTCGTTTCGATCCTGTCATTCGTCTGTGCAGGATCATTAGGACAGATGGTCATCCCATGGACGCTGATAAGCGAGCTCTTGCCCACGAAGATAAGGGCATCCGGAAGCGGCATCATGGTCTCCTACGGGTCCTTCCTCTTATTCGTCGTCATCAAGACATTCCCGGGCCTTCTGGACCTCATCACCCTACCCTACGTGTTCGTAATGTACGCCGTTATGTCCATCTTTTCCGTGATATTCGTTGTCTTTTTCCTACCAGAAACGTTCAGGAAAAATTTCGCTGAAATTGCTGAACATTTTGAAAAAAAAAGAACTATAAACTGAGTAATGTTTATTTTTTCTCTATTGTTTTAAAGGAATCGCGGTTTTTAGCATTGTGGACGATTCAAAATGAAAAAAAGCTTACACACACAATATTATTTAATAAACACACAAAAATAGTACTGTCAGTCGAAAACGTAGTTTTACATGTGATATAAACAGACCTAAATATATTTCGAACGTATTTTTGCTAACATTTAATGTGTGTTGTTTAGTGACCGTTAATTAATGATTATTTGGAGATCGTGAGTGCGGTCTGGTGTACCTAGGTTTTAGAAAAACATTTTCTTTATCGTGCCAACGTATCGATCTTTATTGAGATCATCTTCAGGACCTGGGATTTATAAACATTGTATAATTTAAACAATGTTTATAAATCCCAGGCCCTGAAAATGATCTCAATAAATATCGAAACTTGGCACGATATAGAAAATATTTTTCTAAACCTATGTCACACCACACCTCATCTCACGATCTCCAAATAAGTAATATTTAATGTGCGGTTGCAAATATAAATAAGCCAACAACGAATTTATGCTGAATTTATTTCCGTAATGCATCATCGATGATTTCAAAACAATTATATTTTTACACAAGTTTATTTATGAAAAAATGTAATAAGCCTGTGATTTTTATGAACCCCAATACTTTGGGGTGACGTGGTGATTAAAATTTAATTTACCTTAGATATGATAATCACATAACATTTGCATTCAATAAGCAAATGCAGCTTCTGAATGGAACAAGAAAAGTAACAATTATTATTTGTTATTCTTTCTAGCTCATTAACCACGTCAAATTATTCACTCATAGATATATTAATAAGACATTTTATGAAGCAACTGCTGTAATACATGTGTATTTGTATTAATAGAAAAACGACATTTCCATGTACTGTAGTTATTAAAGTCTCATTGTGTTTTAATTTATTATTAATTTAATCTATGTTTCAAGAAAAGCATTATGCTTCTTTTTGTTTCGATGCTGACAGTTAAAAAAATTAAATCTGGGAAAGATGGATGGAAAACTGCGTATTTCTTTTCAGCAGCTGTTCAAAATGTCCCGGCTTGACATAAACAATGACTGATTGCCAAGGGGTGGTTTTAGCTTTCAGCATAAATCTAAAACATATCGAAACCGTACAAAATAAATCAGCCTGGGAAAATTTTCAATTGGAACACATATGTAAAGTAATGAAGAAGCTTTTTTTTTATCGTTGAGAATGATTTCGTATTCGGGTTTCTTGTGAACCTTATCAGCATAAAATAAGATAGCTTTAAAAAAAGATTTTATTTAAAATCAGCGATTTTTAACCTCTTTTTTATCTTTTCATTAACACCTGCGCGAATTGCTGCGAAAAGCTTTTTTTAATCGAAGTTATGGAGCAACCAAATTCCCCTCAGACCAACACATCAGCAAAACTTGCGGGTCCCGATGCCCGCCCATCGTATTAATCAGCATTACTTTAAAATAGTATAAAAACCCTACTTCCCAAATATGTTGCCTTACTTGTACGATAGCCTTCTTCTCGTCCCTCTGTCGGTTTAAACTTTACTTTAAACTTTAAATATTATACAGTTTGGACAATAAAGTTTCAGTTTAAAAAAATGTCTTCTTCGAGCGATTACTTAACTGGCGCCAGGATCGAAGAGAATTCTCGTTAAGTAAAGATGGAAGAAATTCCCGCTGCGACCATTCGTCTCATCCAGGAGGAAACGTCTTGAAAATTGCCCAAAACAGAAGAAAGAAGAACCAGCACCCCGGAAAACTCGAACGTGCCTCCATAACGTACTTAACTTCGATGAGAACGATTTTGTATTCGGGTTTCTTACGAACCTTATCAGTATAGACAAAGATAGCTTTCAAAAAGGTTTATTTAATGTTTAGCGGTTTTAAACCTCTTTCTATTTACACCTGCGCGAATTGCTGCGCTTAAGTAAATTTGATAACATCTTAGTGCGTAAAACAAAACAAAATAAAACAAAAACATACATAAAACAGTAAAAACAGGAACTCCTATATATTAGCGTGAATCACTTTCACTGCCACTTAGAAGATCGCGAGACTAATGACGCTTCAGGAGTCGGCTTCAGACATGATCATTTCTGATTGGACAATTGTTTGTAATACGTCTTCTAGCGTTTTTTTCTCTACTTCAAGGTCATATTGGATATTGCGGTAATTCGCAAGATTGGATACATAGAAAGGAGCAATGACGATCGTTCGGAGTACTTCGATTGTAAAGATTGGATGTGTAAGATGTTGCAACGTTCGTTGAACCCCAAAATTCGATGCCTAATGCCCGAATGGGTTTCAATATAGTTATGTAAATGAGTTGTTTATTTTGTAGAGTCAATTTTAATCGTTTGTCCAGTATCTTTTAAGAAGTTTGAAGCTTCTTTTTAGTTCTTGTCTCTTGAGTAGTGGGTTCCATATGAGACGTTTATAGGTGGTAGGAGAGGGCTACTAGTAGCTGTGTAGTAGATGGGAACACAAGTTATGCCCCGAAGGGTGAAAATGACATGTTAAAATTTTTGTATGTTTATAACAGAAAAACTCTTCTACCGTTTGAACTTAACGATCTTTGATAAGATTTGATTTGAGATGGTTTTGATAAAAGGGAAGACATCCCTCCCGCGGGGAGCCGTGCAAAGGGTCGCCAGCCGACCGTACGTGCAAGGAGGGACTTTTGGCATTGCGGATTCCCTATTTGGGGATATGAATAAAAATCATTTACAATAACTATGGAAAAGTCCACATCCCCACGGGTTCGGGGTCATTCTGCTCTGAGCTCCCTTGTGATCACTTCCCAGACCCACAAGCCAAGCCGACAATCGCCCCCATACTCCTCCTCACGACAGGAGACCAATCTCAATCTCTACAATCTCAATATACAGTTTAGAAAATTTGTTTTTAAGATACTTTATTTCATCTTTCTTGTCTTATATGTTGCACAGGCCTTTATTATTTTGTCTCTGTCCGTTTCCCAGATAATTAAAGATAGAGTAGTAGGTAGTTTTATTCCGCTGTTAAGAGGACAGAGTGCATGTGTCTTAACGAGATTTTGGGGCACGCTAATATCACATGATCTGCAGGCGCCATGCTATCATATGGACAAACGGCGGTCACCACAATACCAAGTCTCCTGATATTACCGGGAGACAATTATGTGCAAAATCTTATTCTAATCATTACCACTCATCAGTAGGGTGGAAAGTACATATGCGTTGGCAGTGCTATCTAGCGGTTTAAGGTTAGAGACCTGGGAACGATGCTGACACAATTGAATATTTTAGTTTTGAAAGGGCACATGTTCAATTTTTTTTATACATTGAAGCTTTGACGCCACTATTGACGCAGGTTCCACTACTTTAGCGCTGTTTATAGTTGAAACGGCACATCTTCAGTCGCCTCCATTGCAGAGGTACAAGCGTTTTAAATAGTCGTTTAGTGAAAAAAGTCTCTTCTCCAGGACATGTGCCTTTCCCCACTGAACTTAGCGTTCAAGGTTTGTTGATGGCTAAAGAAATTACGTTTTTTCTGATGGCTGCACCGTGCAAAATCGCAATCACACAGTACTGCGATTTTTATTTGCACTTTCTGAATTTGGAAATACAATCAGTATTTCTTTGTGAGGGGACACAGCTTCAGTAGTTTGTGGCCAAAACTTTACAAAAACAAACTGCCCCTTTCAGGTAATTGGAATTGGCATTGCAAAGAAGAAATAAAATGGAGAAAATAAGTTTCAAAATATGTAAATGATGTTAGTTAGTTATTGTTAATTGGTGCATTTATGAGTTTTTTAGTGTTGATTCTGTTATGTTTATATATTTCTCAATCTTCGATACATCCGTTTTTCGTTCATTTTGTATGTTGCGTAGTAGTTTTATACTTGTTTATTTTGTCCATGGACCTGGTTGTTTTCAATTAGGTGATTCGCGTAATCCGATTTTTCGTTGTTGTCTCTAAATTATTTGATATGTTTTTTGTATCAGTCTTTATTTTTCGTCCCGTCTATCCGAAGTATTTGTTGGTTGTACAAACTATTTTATTTATTTATTACTATATATTTATTTTACTACTTATCTTCTATAAAAAACTTCTATAAAATATTCTCAAGAGCGGTTTATAATGTTGGATAAACCCATTCTACGGAATACATACCAGGGTCTTGTTTTTTCTAAAGACTGCCTTGGCGTGAGAGGCGCTGAGCTGTATTATCTCTGCTCCTTCTCTCCCCCCTAAGATACTTCCTAGTGGTCTCTGCATGTGCGCGATAGCCGGCTTTTAGCTTCTACAATTCCAAATTATAAACTTTTGTCTCCAAATAAGTTGTCTCGATAACTCAAACCTTTGTATGAAATCAAAGTGAGAAAAATTCTTTTTATAAAGAAGACAGCTCACATATATTCCCGGTCGAACTTATCACTACGTCATGATAAATACAATTTGTTGTCCGGAAGTATGTACGAACAAACGAATCAAAATTAGTATGAATTTTTAAGGGCATCTGAGTTCATTCTGCATAATAGCGTTTGTCATCTTGTCAAAGCGACCTACAGTCATCTTCATATGGTGTGATAGGTTTCAGAAAAACATTTTATTTGTCGTGCCAACGTTTCGATCTTTATTGAGATCATCTTCAGGGCCTGGGATTTACAAACATTGTTTACATTTAACAAATACATTTAGGATGTGGAAAAGTGAATTTATACAATGCAAAATATATTTTTTTTAAAAAAGTATTTCTACTCACTGAAAGTGTTTGTCTTCTGTGTAATTGTGCCATTCTTGCGTGTCGTGTTGAGCGTGCCAGTGAGATTTTGCTGTTTTATGTTTATATACGTTGGATTTTGAAGGGGTGGGGAAGGAAGTCGGTATAGAAAAGACATTTTTGTATAAGGTGTCGGCTTCTTTGAGGTGAAAAGAGCCGACGAGGGAAACAATGTGTTCGTAATGGTTTGGTCAGATTATCCTTTCAGGATTATATAGAAAGGGATAAATAGGAAGAGGACAATTAGACTACGTGAAAAATATTTGATTTGTGGAATGTAATGTAATGATATATGTATGTTATCTATATTGAATTTGATTAATGATATTGGCGTAGCTGCGACTGAGTTTACATGTTTTTTGCTATCATAGATATGTTGCTTTACTCTCTTGTCCAGATATTTGGATGAAAGACCGACGTAAGTTGCCGGACAGTTAAACAGTTGACTTGTAGATTACGTCAGATTTATTTGTTGTTGGTGTGGGATCTTTAATTTTGTGAAAAAGGTTTGGATGGTTTTATAATTTTTGAAAGTTATTTTGAAGTTATCGGACGAGAGAAATGTGTTTAATTTATGTGATAGGCCTTGAATAAATGGAATAAATGGCAAGGAAATGTATGCTGGTTTGTTTGTATTTGGTAGACTTAATGTAGTATTATTAGTAATAGTGGATGGTAGAAATACTTTGATTGAATATAAAAAATATATTTTGCATTGTATAAATTCACTTTTCCACATCCTAAATGTATTTGTTAAATGTAAACAATGTTTGTAAATCCCAGGCTCTGAAGATGATCTCAATAAAGATCGAAACGTCGGCAAGATAAATAAAATGTTTTGCTGAAACCTATCACACCAGACCGCATCTCACGATTTCTGAATAATTATCGATTAACGGTCACTAATCACCACACATTTCTACAGGAGAAAATAGTTTTCATTTTTACATACTTTCGCTGATAAATAGATTTACTAAAGAGATAAAGACCAAAAAAGGATATTTTCTATTTAAACGTATTTGGGTTTAAAAATAATAAACGCGTTAAGCGTTTTCAAGGGGAAAATTCATCTGCACTTTATAAAATTAATTTAATACACGAAAATAATCACTTTAATGTAATTTCAAGCTGTACATCTGTGTTTAATGCCCACTATTTTTGTGAAAAATGCAACGTCACTTATTCTAACAAAGAAAGACATATTTGTAGAGAAATTTGTTCATTCTGTTTCAAAAAACCGAAATGCAAAAAAGATCCTAAGCCGACTTTTTGTAACGAATGTTCGCGATATTTTCCTAATTATACCTGCTTCACAAGTCACTTAATGATCAGCAGTAAAGGGAAATCGATATTCCAATAAATAAAGCGATGTACTTTATGCAGCACTACTTACAATTCGGTTCAACGGAACGCACCTCATCATTGCGGTGAAATTTTTTGTACAATCTGTAACGTTTTCAAAAATAGCCAACATTTTTGCTATATTAAGTAGGATAAAAGGTCTCCTACATATAAAAATTTATTCATATTCTTCGATATAGGCAGGAGAAAAACTTTCAGACAAGGCTATACTCCACGAACCAAACTTATTCTTAGCTCAACAATCATGTTCAAAATGCGAGCTGGAAAATGACATACAAAAATTATGTACATATTGCGGGATAAAGCAACATATTTAAAAAAAAAAAATCCCAATGGGAGTTTAATCAATTATCTGCTTCTACCTCAAAAACAATTTGCGACAATAAGTTACAAAGTTCACAATGCTCAATCGTTGGATTCCCATTTCGTTATAAAAATATTACTCGAAAACCATGGGATTATTCCTGATCTTATAATGTGCAGAGGAAAAATGTTAAATTGAAAATTGAAAAATGTCAGCATTACAGACTTTCTTAATTACTTTCCGATGCCTCTCTCTACGCCTCCGGTAGCTTTCGACTTGCCAAAATCTTATAAAAAATGATATTTTCTTCATTTAAAAAAAAAAAAAATAGAAAATTACGGTTACATAGTTTAAATACCAGAAAAAAAGTATTATTCGCCAGACACAATGTCCCTAAAAGAAAGAGAAATATTTCTAAAATGGCATGATAGTCTTAGGGAGAGCAATTATATTTTCCATTTTAAAAAAGAATTAATCGATTATTGCATAAATGATGTTGATATTTTATGGCGAACGTGTACTATATTTCGAAAACTGCAACGTTGTTCCATTTGCTGAATCGGTTACAATAGCTTCAGCATGTAATTTGGTGTTTAGAAGCAATTTTTTTACAACCAGATAGAATTGGGGTGATACCTCGAAATGGGTATAGATTAGATGATAGACAGCCAAAAATTGCATTGAAATGGTTAGTTTGGGAAGAACACGAAAGAAAAATAACCATTCAACATGCAGGAAGAAATAAAGTAATCGTTATTTTGCGGACTAAATTGAAAGTAGATGGGTTTTGCAGTGCAAGCAATACGATTTTTGCATTTTACGGGTGTTTTTTCCATGGTCATCCCACTTGTTATCCTACAAAGAGAGATCAAAAGCTTCATCGTACATCTAATGACACAATGAACTGCAGATATAAAGATGCAATCAATAGAAAAACATTATTGAGGAAGAGGGGCTTCAGTTTAGTGCACGATTGGGAATGCGAATTCAATAACATGCAAAATCTGATGAAGAGTGTTCCAGATTTTTTAAAAATGATTCATTTTTTGATTTTGAACCCTTGAACCCCAGAGATTCATTTTACGGTGGTAGAACAGGGAACACCAAATTGTATTACAAGGCCTTACCAGGTGAAAAGATTAATTATGTCGATGTCTGTTCCCTCTATCCGTACATATGTAAATATGGGCACTATCCAATTGGGCACCCTGAAGTATTTGTTGGAGAAAACGAGTGTCGTCGTATAACCGGAAATGATTACGATTTAAATTCTATAGATGGGTTTGTTAAATGCATAGTTCTTCCTCCAAGAGATTTATACCACCCTGTATTACCTTAAATTATTATTAAATTGGAATTTTGACAACAGCGCAAGAAGGGACACATTGTTGACTGCATAATATTACACCAAAGATGCAATCATTTTCGCGCATACGCCTTGTCTAATTGGATATTTGTAAATAATTTATTAGAGATATTAAAATAATATTTAGCGCTCAGAAGAATTTTGTTTTAATAAGACGACAATTTGTTTAAAGAAAATATAATTTTAATAAGAAGGCAATTTTTAAAGCAAATATTTTATCTTGTAAAAATCTTATATTTTGTATCTATAGAAGGTTTTTTTTCCAGCTGAACTAGACCTCGCCATTAAAAATGCTAAAAATGTAGCCCCTGGTCAGGATGGTGTTCAATATGTGATGTTGAAGGAACTTCCTCAGATAGCCAAAACATATTCTCCTCCATATATTTAATTCTGCTTGGATAAATGACGTCTATGTTCCTGAATGGTCCACTCAAATTATCAGACCCATCCTAAAACCAGGTAAACCCCCTGACAAAGCAGAATCTTATCGTCCCATTACCCTCTCTTCAGTATTTATCAAAACTTATGAGCGAATGATTAAGGCACGCATCGATTGGTGGTTAGAAAAAAATATGAAACTTCCAGTAAACCAACACGGATTTAGAAAAGGGCATAACACTTTTGATGTGCTTACTTCCTTTACGTCTGATATTTATGAAAGCTTCTCGCAAAACAAATGTTTAGTGTCTGCGTTTCTAGATTTAACTAATCCTTTCAACTGTGTCAACAATCAATCTTTTAAACAGTCGCATGAGAGATATCAAGATACCGGTGCGAATAGTTACAGCCGTTACTAACCTATCGTGTAAAAGAAAAATATTAGTCCGATGCGGCGGCAAAATTGTAGGCCCACGGACTGTATATGCTGGCTTACCTCAAGGAACAGTATTGAGCCCAGTTCTCTTTTCAATTTATACCTCGACGATTGATACAGCGTTTTCTCCCAGCTTCAAAACACTACTTTTTTTCTCATGATATAACTGTTTACTGCTCCCACTTAAATTTAGACCTAGCACTGTCTGAATTGTCTGATGCAATGAATGTCCTCGACGAATGGAATAGAAACAGCGGCTTCCATATATCGGAGTCAAAGAGTGCAGTGACAATCTTTAAAGGAAGAGACGGATCGTTTCCAGTGAATTCATCGAACTGGGGCCTCATAAGTTCAAAATAATTTAAGTTACTTGGCGTCACCTTCGACCGCAAGCTATTATGGAGGAACCATATAACCAAATTAGTCGATATATGCGAAAAAGCAGTAAATATAATAAGATGTGTCACGAAGGTCCGCTATGGCTCGCACCCGAGTATTGCTCTCATGTTGTGTAAAGCTATCATTCTATCTGGACTAGACTATGGCTCTTTATTGTTAGGCGATGCGGCCAAAACTCATCTGTCGAAATTGGACAAAATTCAAAATAAATGTCTCAGAATATGTCTGGGAGCCATGCATTCCTCACTAATAAATGCTCTCCAGGTGGAGACCAAAATTATGCCTCTCACATGCGACGATCTTTGGTGGATGGCAGATTTTTATCCTCCCGCATAAAAATGTGGTGGTCCATTCCCTTCCTAGTATCCTTAAAGGCAATCACTTCATCCTCACACAGATTTTCAATTTAATATGTCAGTTAAAAACCTCCAACACTAACATTTATATAATCTGGGTAAAAGGACATAACGACAATGTTTACAACTATGAAGCCGATAGTCTGGCGAAAGAGGCGGCCATATCTGGTCCTTTGCAGTTTTTCATCTCGTTGGAGATATTAGATCTCATTTGTATAAGCACTCCTTGAGATCTTGGCAAAGGGGGTTTAGCTCCACAAATAATGCCAAAGTTAACAAATCGATTCAAACCCATATTCCTTCCCTTCCCGTGGTTCCGTTCTTTGAATTACCCCCGACAATCCCTCACTTCCATAATCCGCTTCCGACTAAACCACCATAGTCTACCTGTCCACCTTTACAAAATTAAGATCTTTAATTCCCCTTACTGCTCCTGCAACAACTTAGTAGTGGCCAATGCCAACCACGTCCTTCTTGAGTGCCCTCTTACTGCCTCAGGCAGAGAAACATTTTACAGGTCGCTGATAATGGCCGGCATACCTCTTCCCATCACTGTGCCCAATCTCCTATGTTACTCCCTCAGAACTAATGTAATTGAACCCCTAATTAAATACATTTACCGCAACAAAATCATTATATAACAGAATTGTATTTTGTTAAATAAAATTATTCATAATTATAAATCATTGGCTAATATGATTAACATAAGGCCATAAATTAGCTTTCCTTCAATCTTTTAAACAGTCGCATGAGAGATATCAAGATACCGGTGCGAATAGTTACAGCCGTTACTAACCTATTGTGTAACAAAAAAATATTAGTACGATGATTTCTGTTATATTTTGTATCTATAGAAGGTTTTTTTGTTATAAATTAAACGGTATTTTCATATAGGGTATTTTTTTCTGGAAAAGTTTACTATTTTTTTTAAGTAGAAAATATTTTCTGTTTTTGTGGGTTTGAATTAATTTTCAATATAACGGCATGAAAGTATGAATGTATGGTCACTGGCGTGGTGGTTAAACACTCGTAAACTTGAGCGATTGGACGGTCCCTGGCGAGGTCGTAAAACATCCGCAAACCAAAATTTTGTATGAAAATTATTTCAAATCTCCTCCTCGTTGTATCTCCACTTTGCTGTGCTCCAAGTGAGGAGGCTTTACAAACAAAGAGAGATACATAGTTTAATGTCTTCGTTTTATTTTATTTGATGAATAATAACAAAAAATAATTCACAGCATGGAGAATGTAGACATGCATGAACTTGCTTGTTTACCACGTTTATTTTCATCATATTGCTATGATGGACTTTAACCTCGATCAATCCAACAAGAGTATTTGTAAAGAAATCACACACACAACATGGATTAGACATGCAGGAACATGCTAGTCTACGTTTGATAATATAATGCGCATTCGATCAAACCAAGTTCATTTCGTCGTAGGCGTTCGCTGAAGGAGGTCGTCCAAATAACACAAGGTAATACATAAGAATACATAACTTTATTTATTTTGTACAAATATTGACTTACTTAATTTCATACAGATGGACTCTATGAAACTCGTACGTGCTCTCAACCAAATCACTGCTCCAAAAAGAATTTGAAAAATTTCCGATTTAAATGTAGCATTCGCTTGCGAAGTGAAGGGTTTGGTCAAAATCCCAACGAAATACGACGATGCCATTGTCGCCGACCTTAAATACTTCGGACCTACGTACATCGGAGACTCTTCTTCAACGAGAGTATTCCTCCCGAAACGTTTCAATGAGATAATCACCGCTTACGTGTTAACTTAACGACGAAACACAACGAAAAATGTCACTAGTATACAAAGGCGACCACGAAATTGAATTGATTTAATTGTAACACTTTATAAATAATATATATATTCTTCCAACCAGCAGTTTTTCTTAACCCATGACACAATATGGTGAAAGAAAGATAGCCACAACCCTCATCAAATACCATAGCGGTGAAAAAAAATCAGTGACGTCACTCGTCGAACCCATTGAAAAAATCAATGACGTCAGTCGTCCAACACAATTGAAAAGTGACGTCACTCCGAGGCCCCATCAGACCCGACGGCTAGTGGTGGGGGTGTCTGCAAGGAGGAAAAGTGGTGGTAAAAACTCTCGCCAGTCTTCATGACAGGGAAGGTGGAGGGGGTAAAACCTGTCTGCCCCAAGTGTCACCTATACTACTAGTGTATTGTAAGCTAAGAACAAACACCAGGGACTAATCAAAGGCAACATCGGAGAAACTTGAAACGTGATAATTTTATGGTGGTTATGGAAAATTTTTGAAACCTTGGGTAGCACGAAAACCATAATGATTTCACTTCTAAATTGGGATATTTAATTTAACTGATAATTCAAAATATAATGTGTAACCTCTTTAAAAAAATGTGGTTTTCTTCGTAGAATTAAAAAATTTCTGACAAATATGTTTGTTTAAACAAAATTAAAAATTTACTGAGATATATTGAACAAAGTACGATTGGAATTAGACTACTAGTTTAAACTTTGTCCCTTGAAAGTACAAGAAAAACAAGTAAGACCACGGAAACCAAAATGCAAATATTCTTGTATTTTCAGTCAAGAGTAATAAATCACATTCTGCTTTGTATTCTTTTCCTTTCTGTATAAGCAATGAAGTTTGAGAGTTAAAAAAAAAAACTTTTTATTTGTGTGTGTTTTTAGTATTTAAATTAAAATGATCATGATTTACTTGGATGAACACATGTTGAACCTATCGACACTTTACTTGATAGATCTATTTTCGTGGTAGAGCAGCGAAGTGATAAGTTGTTTAGTAAACAGTTTGGTCCGTCCTGCTTAGCGAAGTTAAACTCACTCTATCACTAACCCTTAACTGCTTTAAACTTAAAGGGATAGGCCTTTGTCACCTCTGCACAAACTATATAACTAATCTAAGTGAAGGTTGATAAGAAACTCAATATTCTGCCATCGGCCCTCTCAAATAAAATTAATAATAACTCTAATGGCCTAAATTTGTTGCAAAATGCAGATTCCATGTTACCTCTAAAAATTCGACCAAAGAACTGAATGGCTTTCACCTTCATTTAACATTGATGGTGTTTGTTTGTCTACGTGTCGGTAAACGCATTTCTGAGAAATGACGAAACATCGACAAGACGGACCAACTAGGAAAAAACGGAATATACACACTAACACACTAAAAGGCGAATGCGGAGACAAATACTTCGGATAGACGGGACGAAAAATAAAGACAGATACAAAAAACATATCAAATAATTTAGAGACAACAACGAAAAATAGGATTACGCGAAACACCTAATTGAAAACAACCAGGACCTTGGACAAAATAAACAAGTATAAAACTAGTACGCAACATACAAAATGAACGAAAAACGGATGTATCGAAGATTGAGAAATATATAAACATAACAGAATCAACACTAAAAAACTCATAAATACACCAATTAACAATAACTAACTAACATCATTTAAAACTACAAATTAAAAAATCGACCGAAGATCAAAAATACCAACTAGAACAATAAAAATCCACCGAGTTAAACCATTAAGTACACAAGAAACAACACCGACAAACCGTACTAATACTGCTATAATAACAACTAATACAACCCCATCACACATCCACGATCTCGTAACTAAAACTTCATTCCACAAAAATCTCCCAAGCACTGAAGATGGTGACATGTCAAAACGCGTCTGAATCAGTGAAGATAGGCAGATGAAGATGGTAGGTTACAATCAAACAGTGGTAACATCCTGCAGACGCAATCGGAAATCTCACTACCTTTCAATTAGTTAGAAAACATCGATCTATTTGGATCAGTTTACCGAACAGTTAACCGACCTTTGGTATGAAAGTAAGTGCCATATAGCAATCACATATGGCTGTCGGATGAAAATCATCCCACTTCTATTACACAGCGGCACCCACTGACTCGAAAGAAAAGCACGAAAGCTGTTTTTCTCAAATATAGTTTTCCTAGCGGTTGGCATTCCTAATTGAAATTCTTGAATCGTGAGGGACACATTGAGTCACCTTTATCTACAAGTCTGACACAATACGCGAACTTAAAACAAAGGGAGTTCGTGTGTTATCCGCGTCTGGTCTATTTAAGAGGGGTAAGTAATCATAGCTCTTTCACGGTTTAGTCTCTTAGGACTACCTAGTGGCTACAAGTTGTACTTAACCGCTTTTCTGTCTAAAGGCCCTCTGACACACACAAGGCCTGAGTAGGTCTATTGTGCTCCTCTGGTTTTTATAACTCACTGGCCAACTTCAGGTTTTGATCAACCTCCAAAGCCGTGCAAGCGGCTCCTTAGTGCAGAATGTTTGGGCTTGTGGCGTTTCCTCTCCTATTTTCAAAAATCTGAACCTTTACAAAAGCATAAAATCTGCGGACTCCTCCTCTTCCTGGTAGTATCTGCACAGTGTTTTTTCGTCTGTACTCATTCAGGTGCATTTGCCTTCTTAGGTGGCAGTGCTCTGTCAGGAATTCAACCAGCATCCTGGTTGAGACGGTGTTTTTGTAAACTCTCCAATCTTTTATCTTTCTCTTCCTTTTTTTGTCTTTCTCCTTCATTACATTCTTTTTTTAATTAATTGCATTAATTGCGCATGTATCTGGTGACAAATATTTAGTTTATTTTTAATTTTATCTTCAAACGCCGACCCACCAAAGGATTAAAAGATAAACACCTTATGGATTACGGGTTTATCGCGGGCCCTAGGCCCTGATTGAGCCTCAGTTCTCAAACAACCTTTGACGAGGAGACACCGTCTTATATCCATCGGCCTATCGATTGTGGTATCGATTTTGTACCGCCCCTCATTGATTTCAACACCTTCAGGGGCAACCGCCGAAGGACTGACGACATTACCCGACGTATCGCGACGTCATATATCGGTTGCTGTTCTTGCGACGTTAACTGTAAATTTTCTTCATCGATTGTCATCGTAGGCCGTCGTCGACAACATCCTGCTTCACCTACCTATCTCTATTGTCGTCAGAGGACTGAGTCTTGGATCTTCGCCGACAACATCGGGCTTCACCTCACATCTTCATCGCTTAAGTTTCTTTATTATTTTTATATTGCATGCAAGCTTGCCATTTTTTGTTTATTTTATCCCTTTGTTAACGTTTTTTCGAAGACAAGACATTTTCAATACATTATTTCTTAAAGAAAATTAAGTATATTAATTTCAATTAATTTCTCTTTGTTTATAAAGATTAAAGTTTATTTTATTTTCCTTTATTTGTTTATATTCAAGATAAGAGTTCATGTAATTTGTTTTGTGTTAAATTAAAATTAAAAAGAATATTTATTTATTTTTTTTTCTTTTTCAAAGAAAACTGAATTGTTATTCACCTCATGCATGTGCATGCTCCTTACATTCAGAATTTAAATATAGGTTTGTTACCAATTTATGATTCAACGGTTTATTCTATTTTAATTATTTTATTTTATGTGGATTTCTTAATTCCTACAGGAGGTTAAAAAAAGAGGAAGTGGGAAAGAAAGGAGAGTAATTTTCTTGAAGGTTCATATATTTAATTCAGTGATAGCGTCCGGCAAATTAGCAAACCCACCTTTGAACCAGTGGGATACGGATGAGGCAACAACAGTTGCCTTCCAGTAATTCCTTTGTAAGTTTTGCGGATAGCCCTTCTATAAATATATTTGCGTGTCTCTTGCCTGGAGTATTATTCCACTAAACGTTGGATTCATTAATCATCCATTTTAGGATATATCCTCTTTTGTAGCAGGGCCACATTTGGGTTCCTGACCTAGTCATTCACGTTAGTTCCCTCTTTGGTCAACATGTCAATCTTTTCATTGTCTCTTTGCCCCGAATGCCAAAGGCCATTGGTGTCGCTGACCACCGCTACGGCCTCTATGCAGTTACAAACACTCTTTGCCTTATTTTTTTTTTTATTTTTTTTTTTCCGGGGCTTCCGACATCTAGGTCATTTCAGCCCCCACTAAGTCTATATTCTATACACGTTCATACAAATAAATACATTCATACACTTAAATACATCCATACAGTACACTCATTCCGTTTGGTCGGTGGAGTACTTGATATTCCTCCACCGACCTACACTTAAACTAAACTAGATTGGGGTCGATGGGGTACTTNTGTTATTTATACCCCTGCAGTTCCATTGCAGAATGGTCTCCATTAGTCGCTTCCTTTTTTCTTTCTCAAGTTCGGTCTGGGTCGACCCTTCTGCCACCCCTTTTTCCTTCTTGCCGGAGCATCAGTGGCTGCTGAAGAAGTATCTGACCCAGACGTCACTTCTATGTCCGTCACCCAATATTTTGTTATAACTTCGTATATGACAGCACTCAATTTCTCACAGAAATATCATTTTAGATTTACCAATTATTCTTCTCTAAATTTGATCAAAAAGTACCTTTCTACAATATTGTATAGCGTGAATAATTGTCATTTTTATTTACCTTAATGTTAAATTCATATTATAAATATTAAATTATTTGATTGATTTCTTAGTTAATTTTAATACTTTTTATTCAATTAATATTGTAAAATTGTATTGTTCAATAACTCAACTATAACCCTCCACGCAAATTACTAATTTTCGAGGACTGGCCAATTGCAAATTATTACTACGTTTGGCAAAGAAATAACCTTATTGTTGTAGTATATTACGTACTACCCGAGACTTCATCAGTGATGAATAGTATTGAATGAATGAATTTCTGAACATTTCCGAAATCGATTGGAGCAGAGGCGATAACAGTACCAAGTCAGTAGGAGGGGTTGAAATTTAAATTCGTCGGTAATGCCATCCGGGCCGAGATTGCTGTCGTTTGACTTTGCCCTGGCCAGTCATTAGGAAGGGAGAGTACAGGG